TGAGTTAACTGAATTGTCTGATCACAATTTATTAATATAATATGATTAAGGTCATGATATGATGAGTCTGATCAATTGAATTCAGGGACAAAAATAACGGGCAGTAATAATCCTAACCTTGTCTTTACGTTTGTTTACAACTCTATCAGAGATAACAGATTTAAACATTTCAAAATCAATCCCCAACCACTTTAGGTGGACAAGGGAAACATGGCGAGTGCTAATTTCCATGGCAAAACGATGACACCTTCAGTGACAAACATTTATCTGAAGGGCAGAGACGAAATGAAAGAGCTGGCAGAGGCTTCGCACTTCAGGTCAAGGCCCTATGGGTATGCCAACACAGATTGTATTGAATGGGACTAACAATGGACATAGCACCTTGTCTGTTCCAAAACAAACAAGATACAATGTACTACCCAACCTACATGTATGAGGCAATGAGTTGGTGAAAGTTAAAGGGACACGTCATCATTGCTTTTTTAAGTCTAATTCAGGGAGATGGGAGAGAATAAACAAGATACAATGTATCTAGTCACTAGCCAACCTACAAAGCAATGATCTGTACATCTGTTATTTTGCACTCACTTGAAAAATATTTTCATTTGATTTTGTTTTCATTTCATTTTTTGGTGTGTTCGTTTTGACCTCAGGAACCTTTCAAGTTTCCTGGTACCTTGAATTGACTGAAAAGGGGTGCATTCATCCCTCGAGTAAGAGCTTCATGAACTTTAATTCTTAAATTTCCTATATTTATATCTTGAAATGACCCACCTACCCTGTTTGTTCAACTGTTCTAATAGTATTGGTGCACAATGTTTCTTTATCAGGAGCAGGATAAGCAGAATGTTGAGAATAGCCAAAACTAGCGGATTCAGGGCAGAAATGACATGCCTGTGAAAATAGCATCTTGTACCCAACAAAGGTGCAGTGTCCTCTCAAACGACACTCCTACTATACTACCCCCACATGAAATGAAATATGGTTAGGATATGAAACCAGTTAACTGATTTATTTGATACTTTATGACCTACTTTCATCAATGGTTTCTAAATAAAGCTTGTAATAATAATAATAAAGTCATTTTTATATAGTGCATAATAGATTTTCTATGCGCTTTACAACAATCAATTATACAATAAATTACATGTTTAATCTAAATATTTAATATGCCATTGTTCATAATTATACAGGCTTATGTAGATCTTAACCATCTTAAGTCTGTCTTGTTATGATTAATGATGTTCATTGATGTATTTTATGCTCATTTTCAGTTTCCATGTATCACAATTCAACTGGCTGTATTTACGATCAATTAACAATAATAATGAGAAAAAAAAATTAAGTGATTATTTATTAAAATGATCACTGTTGTTAACACAAATTATCAGTATTATATCATTATCAATCTATTTGATGAAGTGCAAATATTATACTACACTCATCTCCCATCCAGCCAAAACAAACAGATGCTCAAACTATGTCAACGTAACGCCTAATTTACCCTTTAATGTGAATATGACACAGAGTCGTGTATTAGGATTCAAGTGCTACCATTTGAGAGTGCAGGCGAGTATGGAATTCCTATCTCGCTAGCTAGCCAGCTACTCATCACATATTTTCTTTCCATCTCCTCTCTGAGGGCAGCCCCTAAAACCCGGGTCTGCAGAGCCGATCAAACGAGTCCCCTCTAGTGTGTGTGTAATTTGTACGCCAGGGATCGTAGCAATAATACCAGTATCAACATCCCCCCCCTCTCTCTCTCTCTCTCTCTCTCTCTCTATCCATCTCAGAATGACTCGTATCATGAGGCCTGTTTTCACTAGCTCGAGATTGCCAAATATCCCCTTATTTGAACTATCCCGATCGCAAACTATCCAGCTAATTTGCGTCTTCATCAGCCCGAAGTTGCAATTAGCAGGATATTTGGTCAGGATTATCATCCCAAGATATCTTGGGATAGTTTGCAAAATATCCCACTATTTGGCAAAATATCCAGCTATTTGTTCAGTGCGTTTTCACCAGACCGAACACTTGCACTATGCGCGAATGCTGAGCAAAATATCTCGAGCTGATGAGGACGTGATTTGTAACTTCGGGATTATTTCCCAAATAAGAAATAGCAGGCTATTTGGCAATCGCGAGATAGTGAAAACAGGCCTATTGAGCTAGCATGGATTGGAAGCAATCATGTTGATTTTATGCATGCGTTCATGCAATCAGCCCCCTTGAATATTACCCTTGTACGGTCCATCGGTTCATTGTTATATCCCCTCAAACGTGATACAAATTGAATTCATTTAGAAACCTAAATTTGCTCGACCGTATAAAACAATCTAATTGCCTCTATGTACACAGGGAGTTGTAATATTTGATGTTCTTTGTCTAGATAAGTTCACTTATGCAGAGAGGAGCACCGGACATAGAATCAGTGTAAACAATGCAATCTATATTACACAAATACATGCAATTTCTTTCTTTGTTTTAATTTTTTGTTAAACTTTGCTATCATTCCTCTCTCTTTGAAGGAGTATCAAATGCCTATATTTCATATTTTATATTTAAATTCTACATTAATATCCTTTATGAGCGAGCAGCTTACATTCTCAATTGAATCCTTAATGACGTAGGCCTAAAATATTTACAGGAAATTCAAAAATATGTGCTCTAGTACATCCATGCCTTCTCCCTTTATTGTATCAAGTCTGCAAGATCAATAGGCCATGTTTACATTAATTCATACACGGCAAGTTTGTTACAGTCATTGCTATCATGCCAAGTTTGGGCGAACACACCCATTTATACATAACATCTGATGCATGTACATGTAGGTTAACTGCCATCTATGGCAATGCATTACTGAACAAAGATATGTGATCTTGATGCAGTCAGCTAGCAAGCTAGCATGTAGACTTGGCCCACACACTAGCCCTGTGTTCACACTACCGGGATTTATCGTGTAGCTAGACGATTTTCGTATAGCTATACATGAAATTAAGCATTTTTTCATTTTAATAGTCCGATAGTCGTATAAAGAAACGTAGCACATTGAAACGCTTATTTGAGCATTGCGTTGAACTAAAACTCAATAACGAACCAGCATCCGGCTCCAGACTGAACGCTGTATCATATGATAATCGTATAACTGGGCGGGGCTTCATATCGTGAGTGCAAATTTATGATTAACCAACTGCCGTGTCAATTGACCCCTTCAAAACTGTTCTTTGAATAGTATTTCCATGATATTGTTTTCTACTCTGTTCACCCCTGTCGCTATACGATGATGCTTATAAAACGTTCCGTTAGGCCATGTAAAATTGATTACATGTTGATCGTCCGGATTTTTTGAAAAAGAGGAGGAGGGTGTACCATGTTATTTGATATTTGATATTTCAAAATGGCCGCTCAAAATGGCCGCTCGGTACATTTTCCCCGACAGTCGAGGCTATTTTTTTTCAAGATGGCCGCCGACAATTTTTTTTTTTTTTAAATCAGAAATAGAGCCATTTTAGCAGTGTTTTTCATGTTTTTTTTCTTTCAAAAAAAAAAAAAATCAAAAAAAAAAAAAAAATAAAAATAAAAATAAAATAACAAATAACAAAAAATAGGAGGCGGCCCCCAAAAAGGAAGCGGGCGGGGACGATCAACATGAAATCAATTTTACATGGCCTTATACGATTTTCATATGCATTCCCTACAGTCTGAACAGCACCAAGGCTAGTATGGGAAGCTCTACTTATCACAGGCCATGATCAACACAAAACAACCCATTAGTTGACCTCAATAAAATACCCACAATCTTTTCTCATCAAGGAAACTGGCTTGCTTGGAGACTGATCAAATGCATAATTCTGATCAGAAACTTGACATGTGATCTGAGATAAACCACAGCCTTGAACTACTGCCAATATATCACAACATCCCTCAGCTGCTGAGCAAGAGATAGAAGGGCGTTATTGCTCTGACATAGAGTTATTAAATGCCCTCCTGGCTCCCAAGTCCTGATAGATGAAATATAGCCCTGCCTTTCAAAAGATATTCTCTTAATATGCAATCAGCATACAATCATTTGCAGTTGATAATAGCAATGATATGTAGATCCAATGTAATATGTATGCACATGACAGCTGACTTTAATTTCACATAGACCTATCCTGTTTATGAATACAAAAACAAGCAACAAATCCCAAGTGTGAATACGAGTCAGCCTACTGTATGCCTACTTCTGTATGTTTTGCTGTATTACTTCAGTGTCATTTTCATGAGTTACAGTGTAACTTACTGTCAATTAGAAGTTCAATGATAAGCTAGATGGCATTAAACCATTGAATAAAATATAGGCTGGGTAACTTTTAAGAAAAACCATTGAAAATTCATGTTCAAAGAAAATAAAGACATTACAGACTAAAAAGAAGCAATACACTCTTGTTTCGGAAATAGCTGAATCAGAAAGCAACTTGATTCCGATTTATATGGGGGTAACAAATTAATTCACCATTTTAATCATCTCTGCTACAAATTATGCAATGTTGCGGTTAGTCTGGAGGTGAGACTACCAAGCCACTTGACCAAGACCGTGGCCTCTGAGGCAGGCAAGCGGAGGCGCTACGCGACACTCCCGCCCGCGATCTCTCGTTCCGTTTCGTGAAAATTAATGACGCTTCCTGGAGCAAGTGACACATTAGAGTGGACAGGGAAGCTTGTGAGATAACCTCTTGATTAGTTTAATTAAATCTTTCATCGCTTGGCCAGCTGCGAATCAGTTCCTATCTCTTGCAATGGATGGATGGACGAATGGATGACCCCCTGGATAGAATGGGACTGACCATGGTCTGAATGTCGTCTGCTAGGAGAATGCAGTCAACACCCTACTCCATGAATGTTCTAGTATGGGATATCGAGGCATTTTCTAGCCTAGAGAAATGACTTGAGTGATTATTTCACTGAAATTAGGAATATCTCCTGTCCTAATCGACCACTGATTAATATGGCGCTTTCATAGTAGTAATGTTAAATATATTTCCAACTACCGTTAGGTATTTATCAATTCACTGTTTACATGCCTAGGAGGCTGCAAATGATAGTAATTATGTCTTTATTTTGCTTTTTATTACTGCGCTGCTTGGTAGCAAAAGGTATCAAACATTTCATCCCTATTAAAAGGACAAGTAAACATTCTATTCCATGTTATACTTGTACTGTATATTCAGAATATCTGCTTCAAGTCATACCATTTAAAACTCATATCATTTTAATTGTCTCTCAGGAGAAGTTGGGATCCCTATTAGTTTATACTATCTATAACATGTACTTTGAGCGTCTACATGAACCAGGCACAGAGTTAGGTTATTCCGTTCAATCTCAGATGTCATCAACACCCTGATCTATTCTGACATTTTAAAAAGAAATCCAGAGATTTCCTGTGAGGCTTTTTAGAACGTAAATCTGGCAAGAAATACCATGCTACAGGCTGTCGTAGGTTCAGGTGAGAAACAAGGCCGCCAGCTTTGACGTATACTCCTCATCATATATGCATGCCCTATATAATTATGAGGCTTCTAATACCACTGATATACTTCTTAGAATACAAATATACTTAACGTGTTGAGCTCAATGTTACCTGCAATATGTAAATTTTCAGTCACTGGACCTACATTCTACTTTCTACCTTTACTCTTTACATTCGTTCATTTTGTGTAAATTACCCGGAAAGCAATTTCCATCAAGTTAATTTAATTTGCGATACGTTGCACGACAGTTTGCCCTCAGGCCATCATAGATTCATTTCACAATTCGTGTTCAACATTAAAGTATATTTAAAGGGAGCTGGTGAGCTTGCTTTTGATGCATTTTCTGAAGAAATTCAAGAAAACCTTGATATTTTACCCACGTAGTATACACTGAATACTTATCACAGCCATCAAGACAATAATAGACTTAATCTGAAAACTGAGCTCTTTGAATCACAGACCACTGAGACTACCCATGACGTATGTAGTACAATAATGGACGGAAAGGTTCTGCATTGATCTAGATGTACAGGTGTAGGAACTAAAATAGAATGCTAACACTTCAATAATTCATGGCATATACTGGCAGCCTTTTTTACAGTTTCAGTATTTTGTCCCTCTTGTATTCACAACTAAGCCCCTCTCAGCTGCGTGACACACTTTCGATTTTAATAAAACAAGATATTGTTAAAAACAACACTATTTCCTGCTATTACATTAAATGTATTTGATCAATGACTGAAAAATAAACCCCCCCCAAAAAAAAAAAAACAAGTGGAGAAGGTAAAAAACACCTGCACGCAGGGACAAAACATTCATAACCAGTAAACAGGTACATCTAGGTCAGGTACGCCAATACTACTTCTTATAATTCTAAAGCAGGATTACGGTATTCCAGATTTCACAAATTTTGCAGCGATAATGCAAGTTAATAACCAGTCTGGCAGGAGCCCTGGAAATGTAAATCTTGTTGCCAGAGTTATCCAACCCTACTCAAATAAACCAATTTAAAACTTTTATGTCTGAAAGAATAGCAGGTGAGTTTAGGAAGATATTCTGAAATTAAGTGTGTAGTTAAGGCTGCCCAGAGGGAGAAGGGTATTTATTTTAAACACACAATTAACACCCTTCTGGCTCCAAACAAAGAAAACACATATTGTTAAAATTTGAATTATTCATAACTTTCTTGCAAAAATTTGGGGGAACAAGATTCTACATTTTGATTTATCTAATCAAATCAGGGGTAAATTAACATCCAAGGAAAAGAACCCATTCTTTAGTTGCCTTGGAAACCCCTTCAGCCAGGCAATGATCAGTTGTTGATAGATTGATGAATACGAGTGACATACAGAGTCAATCTATCTCACCATCAATACAATAATCCTATATTCTGTTCATATCAGCATGGCTTTGGAGAGAAAATCCAATCTTTTCAATTTTCTGTTCATATCATTGGGGGTTTGAGGTTAAATCCTTTTCGTTCAATACAGGGATAAAAAGACAGCTGTAACCTACAATGGATCTCATATCCGACTCGTTAAATTTTAAATCCTTTCTCTGTCAACTGAAATATAATGCCATATTGCTAATCCACCAGAAGAAGTGTTTCCTCTGTTTTAGAGTCAAAATGGCTGTATAAATCCTATCTGCTTTAACAAAGTTTGAATGCCCTTTTGGCCCTCAACGTACAATGTGTGTGTTTACCCTCAGACGCGTGCATATATTTTGTACATACACACAAGACCTGGTTTATGAAAATATAAATTCATAATGAACTTTAAATTGATCTACCTACATGAACATTTTAAAGAAGATTTTTTTTTTTAATTCGGTATAAAATTGCCCCTTTCCACCCAGTTACCCACAACAGTTCTAATTATCATGGTTTAATACTAGAATGAATTAAGCCTGAATTTTATATGTTACACTATCACTATTTCTTGCAACCAATCAAACTACCCAATTTTGCCACCTGACTATTAGCTTCCGCAATGAGCACTAGATAATGATATGACTTGAATGAAAAGGAGCGAGGGATCCACAACAATACATGGTGACATTGAGTTCTATTCAGCCATGAATTACTGCACTAATGAGATCTTTTACAAGGACACAGCATTTCCCAAGACAAAGAGACAAGATGTGAAGAATACCTTCAAACAAAGACACCGTCAAACCTTTTGTCTCGTACCAATCATAGGGTATTACATGGTTGACTAGGTATTGATAAATGAAACAAAACTTCTTGTTCATATTTCATCGTCCATCTTTGCTGGCCCATTGGAGAGCGTTATTGGGGGTTGCATTTTTAATGGCGTCACGACGTTGCCTCTCCCTTGGAGCTCTAAAAATTAATATCCGTCCATCAAAACCCTGGTAGATTGAACACACACATTTCCATCATTAATGGATAGAGGTTAGGAAAAGGACAGTCCTGAAGAAAATTGGGACAGGTTTAGCATTAGTGATATTATAGGATTATAAAATTGACATTTACAAAATGAAAAAAAGTAAAAATACAGGGGAAGCCATATTTACTCCATAATTACCTTACAATCTTAAGATTGATTGATTCTTGACTTCTTAAGAGATATTACCGTAATTGTAAAGCCAGAAACATTCAGGTGCATGACATCTTTGCGAATTTTGCGATTGGCTAAGATTCATGCGGCAAAATAATAAAATCACAATTGAAATCAATCTAAACTTGCGCAATTTGCGACAGTTTTAAAAATTCATGAAAGTTTCAAGCTTTACAGGATAAGATTGATCTTACTAGAAATCATAGAAATGCCTTGACATGGTCTGTGCTGCATCATACACATATCAAAGAGAGAATTACAATAGGGCTCTTTCATAAAATATTATACAAGTGCCAAAACAAAAACATATCGACACACACACATACAGCAACATAAAAACATAAAAAAGTAAAAACACATAAAAGCCGATAACAAACAAGACAATGAGAGAAATACACATGCAAAGACCCACACTTCAGCATGTTTATAAAAAAGAATGTTCAGCAAAAAAACAAAAACTTAAAATCGAAGACATCTTGAAAGCGATGCTGACAATATCCTGATGATTATAGCGATGACGGATTCCAAGGCATATATATCCTGCTAGCGAATGTTGTTGAGTTGCTTGTATTTATCCTCAGAGGAAAAAGCACACGGAAAGCAGCATTTCTTTTTACTGGGTGGTTGATGCATTCTGATTCCGAAAAAAACATTTCCAGACATCAATAATTAAAAAAAATGAAAGCTTTCTTGCAAAAAGTGCCCTTGGATGTAAACAATGCTTTCAGTGTAGAGAGCGAGTGCACCGTTTGATCCATGCAGTATGCATTATAGAGAGAGAGAGAGAGGTGACATACAAAGAGTTTGGCAATCGTTGAGTAATCACTGTGCAGTTGAATCTAGCGCTGAATCCAGCCAAGTTATTCGTATTATGAAAACTGCAATTTACTTGTATATTATAGAGATTCATTGCATTTAAATTAAACCTGTATCCATTAAAATAAACCAATCTTTCATCCTCGAGATAACATTTTTTATTTGCAATAAATCCGTTTTCCAGTTTCCAAATTTCCAAGCATGATTCATTATTTTGTCTCTCTTCATCGATCTAGAGAGATATTGTACAACATTTAATGGGGGTCATAGGATTCTTCCTGCCATTTTGGATTAATGAGTTACAAATGCAGCTCTCCATCTTCTAATAATCATCACATTATGTTGTCTTTGTTTTTTGTCTAGATTAAATACATTTGATATAGTTTCAAAATGCTAAGTATTAGTTCACACACCCCACAATTCATTTCCATAAGGCTTTCCGTCCATTGCTTTCTTCGCTGCCTGCCTCAATGGTCACATGATGTCCACAAGCTACGAGAGGCCACTATCCGATCATCGCCTCTTCAGACCGGTGCCACATCTCTCATCCTGCACCCCTGAGATCCTGAGTGGAGGAACATGTCTAAGAATTGATCACAATCTCTCAAATCCCCCAGCGTCCCCAGGAATACTCGCCACTCACAATCGTCATGATCATTCACGACCCGCTGCATCTTGCATCCTTCTTGGACGTCAAAGGGTGATGGTTTCACGGATGGACAGAAGGGTTGAAACGGATGGATGGATTGACTGATGAGATGACTGGTGGAGGATGTTGACCGGAGGTTGGCATGTTACCATGGTGATGATGATGGCATCTTTCTTGGCTTCGATGTTTTTTGAGTTGCATTTTGTTTGCATCAGGAAATCCATGGGTGTGACTCTTTTGGAAGACTGAGAGAATCAAGAAAAGAGAAAAAACAAGAGACAGTGAATAAATGCACAAAGTTTTGCTATTCATTGAATGCAAATGACAGTATATAAAAAGGAACTTATTCTTGAATCAAAATACAAATTATCTGTTGATATATTATTGAGAAGGATATCAAGTCCTGTTATTGAACAAAGATATAACATCATTCTGGCTCTCTACGTACAATATATATGCAATGTAATAATCTAAATTGATTATAAAATGCACTGAAATCCTTTACCTACATGTAATATGGAACATCGTAAAGGGTAAAAGGCAGAATTAATATTAAGCATTTCCTAAAACAAGGAAGTAATAAAACCTTCAAGAATTTGAAAAATAATAAGGGTGGACATTTGTCAAATTCTAAGGATTCTTTATGACAGGAAATGATAAGAAAACATTAATTAAAGTCAGATGTAATCAATAAAGCATTTCCTGACGATACCATTATCAGTCAAGTTCACAGACTTCCACCCAAAGGATGATAAGATCAATTGACCCTAATGATCTTTGTCCAAACATAGACCTGAGATCATGCAGTCTCCCTGGTCTGTGACCTCTTATCATACTGCCTGGCTCAATATGTTTACATACATAGTCTATATTCAAGGCTGAATGGATGGATATATTTCATCTGGAAAGAAAAGTGTGTGCTTGGGACAGAGGCTACATGTAAATACTGTACTTGTATGTGATCCTTTACAGGGAGATTTCTGCACTCAGGGACTTCAGTCAAATAAATATCATAATCTACTCATGTATACAATATGACTATGTTTATTTACATCGGCAACAAACTATATTTTCACCTTGATGCAAGCCTAACTCTTAACATCATGGGATTGATTCATCTCTATGATCTATATATATTTGTTATTTCTATGCTTTATTGGTACATCATTTTGGTGTTCCTTTGCCCTCTTTTTCCCTCCCACTGAGCTAACAATTGACCCCCCCCCCCTCTCTCACTCTCTACTATCTCTCTCTTCTCTGTTTTTATTCTCGTCCCCTGCATATGTATCCCCCCCCCCCCTCCCTCTCACCTTCCCATTTTAATACTGGTATACCACTTTGCATCAGCCGATTACATTACCTTCAAAAGGTAATTACACCACAAACACAAACATCCATTCAACAATAAAAGTCCATACATTGCTGCATTAATAAGAGCATCAGAAGGTTGCACTAGAGTGTGTTTGTCTTGATACATCTACATGTAATTAGCCATTTATAATACACAACATATTAAAGCAAGTCGATCATACTCAAGGATGAATGAGACATGAATTACACTGTAGTATTACTAAGAAAAGGTTACTATAAATTATAAACCCTATGCTGATGCTGATGTGGCAAACAAGAAACTATGAGGTTCAAACAATGATTGAAGATTGAAATCTCACCTTTTTTTTAGCCTGTTTAAAAGTGAATTATAATTAACGTGACTTGAATCAATGTGATCCAAATGAAATTGATATTTTGGTTCAGTCCCACATCAAAGTGAGGTTCCGATAACAGATCACAGTTGATGTTTATATCATATCTCACGGTAATGCTGTCCATGTATGTGAACAGGCTCTATATTGCTGTCAAAATTCCACTGTTGTATGATATGAAGGGGGAAAAAAGCCATGTATGAATGTGTATGAATGAACCCTTTGTTATATACAAGACACAAGAAAATGTTGCACTCATAAATTTTGCTCCCCAAACCACATACAGTACCTAAATTATTTTTCAATGTGAATAGTTTTTATATAAAGTCATACCTGCCCAACTGTCTAAAAAGACCACATTTATTTGTTTCCCTTAAAAAGGGTTTCTCATTGAAACTTGTACTAAAGGAACCTGTCTACAAAGACCACATTTATTTGTTTCCCTTGAAAAGGGTTTCTCATTGAAATTTGTATGAAAGGAACCTGACTACAAAGACCACTTCGCTTGTAGACAGGTCTGACTGTATCATGAAAAATGTGCAAGTAGGCATGTAAATGTGCAAGTAGGCATGTACATGTACATGTGTACACGTACAGTAGATCAGCAAAACATACAGACCTTCTACATGTCTATGGAGAAGAAAACTTGCTAGAAATCTCATTCACTGAAAGTACATCTTCCATTTGCCAGGTTCATGTCAGAACCAGAGCCATCTATACACAGAGTCTGGCCAACCCAGTTCAAGTTTGACACAATATGGCGACTACTGCTTTGTTGGGCAAGCAGAAAACAAAAGAATATATGCCATGTTGTGACCCAGTGAAACCAAGTTGGCCAAACTCTGTGAATATATGACTCTGGTCAGAACCAATATCACCTCTTGTCTTTAGGTCCACTGATTCCAACCAATCCATCCTCACACCATACCATTCACTGTATCATCCAGACTATACCGACCAGTCAATTCATTTCCCAGCATTCATTCATACACCTGTTGGATCAAGTAGACACGCCCCCCTCAAATTCCATGATAAAATATGAAAAAAGTGTCCTGTCTGTTCACTTCCAAGCTACCATACAGCACGCTACCCTGCAGGGTATCAATTGGATAATTCAGTCAGGGTCACAGCGGGTCATTATGGTAATTGCAATCGTGACATGACCCCAAACTTTTCTCTACTCCATGAAAGGCAGCTTTGATCATTGCACTGTCAACTGCTGGTTTTTATTAATGCTTCCATATACATGTAGGCTTAGCCTCAAATATTGAAAATAGATTGACTATACAATAACTTTAATAGATCTATGTGACTTGACACGAAAAAGCACATCTTTTATTAAACCTCTATGAAAGCAAGAGTAGATTTTATGGAAGGCCCTACAAGAATTTATTAGCAAGCCTATAATACTGCCTTCATTTATTCTGGAATGAAACCAAGGCAAGAATCTTTACATAAAGTTTGCTTAGACCTTTTATCACAATACTAGAATGTCTCCCAGGCCAACATTAAAATGCCATAAAATATGCCATCTTTGGCGTGTGCATCAGAAAGGAGAAAGAGATTGTGAAATCAAAAAGGTGGCTGGATTCTAGACTACCGGTACGTAGTTCCCTGGTGAGCACATCACCTCTGTACAACCTGTAGGAATAATTTGTAAACCAACACCAAGAAAAGTATTTGGGTCTATCTACCAGGTCAATGGGTTTAACACAAATCAGATTCCCAGTTGACAACATACGCAGCTATCCCCATACACCATGAAGTGTACATTTGATTGTTGTAGAAAGTAGAAACTGATACATTTATCCTGCACATTGTACAGAACTCATTTAATCTGTTTGAAGCCAAAATGGTGTCTACTCTATACATACACATTGTACATGTATGTTAGAGTTTCATCCAGTTTATGCCCTACACTGTACATGGCACCAAACAGACGGTTTATCTAAATCTAAGAATAAGCAAAATAATATACTGTACATCATCTTTATAAACTACTGGTAGGCCCTTTCCTTATACTGTACATTTCCTTAGCCAAAACATGTAGGTCTACCAATCAGAATAATTGCCTGGGCATCATATTGGTATGAAATAATATAATCCACAAGAAGGTATGAATGACAAATGCAATCCCAAATAAAAAACAACCAATTTATGACAAGATATCACTTATACATCAGGTTAGCCAATACACATACACATGTTAGATACACATGTTATTTCCTCAGCAACCTGTTGTTATAGTTATACTACTGCTGTGTTTCCTACTAAAAGCATCAATTGATGAATGAAGCCATTACTATGTATACTGACATGGACATAAACGAGGGATATCACACCTATACCACAAACTACCCGCCATAAAACAAACCATGCAAAAACGACAAGAGGCGTTCAACTTTATGGCTTTTTTTTCACACTACAACAAACAGGAATGAATTTGGACTGGATTCCTGATTCCTTGTATTCTAGGGGATACCTGATGCATGGGCTTGAGAACGACTAGACTTGGTTCTTTTTGCCTAAATGTCAGACTTTTATAAACCATACTATGTACGTAGTGTGGCTTATAAAAGTCTGACATTTAGCTTTAAGTGCCTCAATCATTAATTTATCTTGAGCTTCCTGGTTCCTGTAAACTTTTTCTTCGAAAGCAAAAGTAACTTGATGCTATAATGTATTACATGTAGCTGGTAAAGTTCATACTAAGGGCATGGATAATCAATGCAATATCACTATTCATGTTTATTTATAGCTGACATGACTACAAAAGAAGAGATATGAATGTAAAGCCTGCAAGAAGGGTAGCATTCTGGGCATCGCTTCCCAAAATTGCCATACAGGTATACACTGTATAAGTACAAGTTCACCAAAATCCCATTGAAATATGTTAACAATTTAATCACATTTTTTCAGGACCACAAGATTTTTTTTTGGTGTTGCTTTTTTTGTTTTTGTTTGTTTATTTTTATTGATTTATTGATTTATTTCTAATTATTTATTTCTATTTTATTTTTTTTATTAAAAAAAAAATTATTCATTTTTTTTTTTTTTTTTTTTTTTTTTTTATGGATTTCTGCTTTTGCTCAAATAAACATGTCTACAAAGTTTGAATCGTCATCTATGGATTTTTGCTTTTGGTCAAATAAACATGTTTTCACAAGGACTAAAGTCCCATGGAGTTGTAGTATTTCCCCCAATGGTCCATGCAAGGTTATGAAGAAGAAGTAGCTAAATAACATCTCGGATCAAGAAACATCAGTGAATGCTCACAGGGGATAATCAGGTCTGAGAATGGCAAAAACACATCAAGTAATCAGTCAGTTGGTCATTTCAAGATGCAATCAGCCAACCAAAAGATGTTAATGGCAATTTCAGAGAAAAAGCCAAAATTACAAAAGCAAAGAAAAAAGTAATGACTTTACCAGAGAGAGAGGGGGGGGGGGGGGGGGGGGGGGGGGATGGGGCAAAAAAATTGGAGACATATATATATAAACAAAAGACAAATGAAGACTGGCCATAATGATGTTTCTCTTCAC